AAGTTAAAAATCATCAAATGTGTTCTACTGAAGAAACAAAGTCACCTGCATCTTGGATGCCCTGGGGGTAAGCAGATAAACATACAATTTTCATTTTTGGGTGAACTATTCCTTTAAGGCAATAAGGCAAGAAGAAGGACCCGTGTAAATATCGGATCAGCTTTCCAGAGCTGGAGAGAACTCAAGGAGCGGAAGGCCTGCGATCGGACGCCGAGGTTGCTTTCTTTCTTCTCGATAGGTGAGTAACACCGTGTCTGCGCCGCAACAGCTAAAGTCTGTCTAGTACACTGGACACGACAAAGCGACCATTGAAAATAATTTGAAGTTTGTGTCAATACGTCATAAATAGAACGCAGCAGCAGTTTTCTGTCGGGGATTTGTCAAGTCGTGTTGCGCCGCATCCAGTGTAGACCATAGATATGTATATATATCTATGGTGTAGACAGCATCACTGATTATGAGTTCTATAGTATTTTGTCGCACCACGCCACTCGCGTCCGGTGTAGACACGGTGTAACATTGGTTTTGCTTTGTTTCACAGAACTAATCGTTGCCTGGGTTGCGTACGTATGTGTGGGGCGGAGCTATCAAAATAGGGGCGAGACCCTTTTGGGGTAGGGGCGTGTTTGTTTTGGTGATTTCAAATGTCAAAATTGGCTACCAGAAATCACTTACCCCACCTTTAAGAAACTGACAAAAGATTTACAATTTTATAATACTTGGTTATATAATATATAATAATACATATAATATGGTATAATACCTGTACTTTCTGAAAAATAAGTGAGTATCAAAATTAAGTAAGTTCATGCTTAAAACAAGAAAAAAAATCTGCTAATAGAGTTGGCAGAAAAGAGTCTCACTGAGCAGGTTAGTTAAACTGATAGTTAGTTAAAATGATAGTTGGCATGAAATGAAAATTCACCCTGTCTATTTTCAAAATGTATGTTGGATCTTAAAGTGAATGATTCATTCTTAGTTGTTTTTTTGTTTTTTTCACCTTGTCATTTTTAATCAAAATGTCAGCTTCCAGTCAAATGACAGACTTCTGGTGATAAAAAAATATATATATATGAAATAAATAAAAACGAAATATTTATTTTTTCGGATGTAAGCATCAAAACAATGCCCTACCTTTCATGGGAACTTCAAACTGCGTCCTCTAGGGGTCGCTATGGGGAAACCTAGAGGACGCAGTGTCTCTTTCCCCATAGCGACCCCTAGAGTACGCAGTGTCTCGTTCCCTACTCAGGGAACCATGGTTACATAAGTAACCTGAGACGTTTTCCGTATCTTTTTGTCGTGTCACTTGAAATGTTTCCGTTTTGAATCGTTGTTACCAAAGGCAAGACACGTGAGGAGAAAATAAACGATTAATTGTGGGACTATATTCTGTCATAAATCACATACCATTCATTGCTGAACTTTCTACCATCCGTTACTGGAAATTAAATTAAATTACTGGTTGATATGTCCTGATCTCAATAAAGTTTACACACGCTTTTGGTCCATGAATTAGATCTCGCTCTGGACGCGCGCTGTCTGTGGAGGTTTGGCCAGGACCGGTTCCAGAATTAAATCGACATATTTTATGTTCTGTCCATTGACAATCACTGCTATTTCGAGAGTGAATCCCGCATAAATATGCAGATGCCATTCCCAAAACTTTGCAGGGTGTAGCCTATGTGTCAGAAATACGAAAGTGGTGAGTGAATTCTGACAAAACGTTTTCGATTGGCCAATGCATTTAAGAAATCAACAGATATGTCTGTGATTGGTTACATTGCTCAAAAACAAAAACACGTTGAGGGTATTTAGCGCCTGGCTAAGCACTCCAATTGCAGCGGGGCCGACATCAGGGTTTCCATGACTAACAATTGGGGGGGGGGTGACTTTTACATTGGGGAACCCTTCACTATAGATTATAGACAAGTCTCTTCATAATAGAGCACAGTAGCTGTGTGCTGTTCAAAACACCATCTCAGGTTGGGTTACAGCAGGGGTTGGTTTGTTGGCAGCAGTGAATGCGTCTCACGAGGTGTTGTGTGTCTGTTTGTGTGTTTTGGTCTGCATGCACGTCTGTGTACGAGAACTGATTGGCTCGCGGTCGTGTGCTCTTGCTCTGCAAACTCTGTTTGTGCCTTGGATTTATTTATACCAGAAGAACTAGGCCCTTGACGTGGCCATTACAGATTTGTTTGCAGACCGTTTTGACTGTGTGTGTGTTGCACTGACACCCCTCTGTCAGCTCATCCTGATATATGTGAGTCAATTAGCTGTCTAAAGAGAAAACATCCCCCCTCTCCACCTTGTGCACACACACACACACACACACACACACACACATCGAGGGCAAGCCTCACAGCTGGCCCGCCCCTGAGAGTCTCTGTGTGTGAAGCAGGCTGGTGTGCTCTGGTGGGGGAGGGGTGTATATTAGTGGGGGAGGGTAATGGGGTTGGATGTCAAGAATGTGGCTGTTGGCTTGTTTCTTTTGTATGTTGTGTGTTTTAGTAAAACAGTACAGAGATCTTACATATTTTACAACTTGTGCATGAATTAGCGCAAGTAATAAGGTGCCAGGTGCAATTTAAGTCTAAAATGTACAATATTTTTTATTTTACATGTTATTTTTTATGTTTTTGTTTTACATTTAATTCAAATTTTATTTTAAATTATTATTTACAATTTATTTATTTAATTTAAATTTCATTTCATTTCATTTGATTTTAATTTAATTTAATTACTTACTACTTAATTACTTAATACAAATTTTGTTTTCCACAAATCCTAAATATGCGCCATTCCCAAAACTTTGCAGGGTGTAGCCTATGTGTCAGAAATACGAAAGTGGTGAGTGAATTCTGACAAAACGTTTTCGATTGGCCAATGCATTTAAGAAATCAACAGATATGTCTGTGATTGGTTACATTGCTCAAAAACAAAAACACGTTGAGGGTATTTAGCGCCTGGCTAAGCACTCCAATTGCAGCGGGGCCGACATCAGGGTTTCCATGACTAACAATTGGGGGGGGGGTAACTTTTACATTGGGGAACCCTTCACTATAGATTATAGACAAGTCTCTTCATAATAGAGCACAGTAGCTGTGTGCTGTTCAAAACACCATCTCAGGTTGGGTTACAGCAGGGGTTGGTTTGTTGGCAGCAGTGAATGCGTCTCACGAGGTGTTGTGTGTCTGTTTGTGTGTTTTGGTCTGCATGCACGTCTGTGTACGAGAACTGATTGGCTCGCGGTCGTGTGCTCTTGCTCTGCAAACTCTGTTTGTGCCTTGGATTTATTTATACCAGAAGAACTAGGCCCTTGACGTGGCCATTACAGATTTGTTTGCAGACCGTTTTGACTGTGTGTGTGTTGCACTGACACCCCTCTGTCAGCTCATCCTGATATATGTGAGTCAATTAGCTGTCTAAAGAGAAAACATCCCCCCTCTCCACCTTGTGCACACACACACACACACACACACACACACACACACTCACATCGAGGGCAAGCCTCACAGCCGGCCCGCCCCTGAGAGTCTCTGTGTGTGAAGCAGGCTGGTGTGCTCTGGTGGGGGAGGGGTGTATATTAGTGGGGGAGGGTAATGGGGTTGGATGTCAAGAATGTGGCTGTTGGCTTGTTTCTTTTGTATGTTGTGTGTTTTAGTAAAACAGTACAGAGATCTTACATATTTTACAACTTGTGCATGAATTAGCGCAAGTAATAAGGTGCCAGGTGCAATTTAAGTCTAAAATGTACAATATTTTTTATTTTACATGTTATTTTTTATGTTTTTGTTTTACATTTAATTCAAATTTTATTTTAAATTATTATTTACAATTTATTTATTTAATTTAAATTTCATTTCATTTCATTTGATTTTAATTTAATTTAATTACTTACTACTTAATTACTTAATACAAATTTTGTTTTCCACAAATCCTAAATATGCAGTTTCAGCCTTGAAAAGAGCACTAATGCACCTTCTGAACTCTTGTGGCCTGTTTGGTCATTTTGTGTGTCATGAGCGATCGTATTGCTGTCCAGTTGGTTATGGGTATTTTATTTATACATGGGATCTTACAGACTTTTGAGCCATTTGACCCTAAAAGTTTTTATATTTTATTTTATTTTACATTTTGTTTTAAATTTTATTTTTATTTTATTTTATTCTTTTCCACAAAAATATGTTTCAGCCTTGAAAAGAATATTATTGCAACTTGTGAACGCTTCATAAGGCCTCTTTGGTAATTTTGTGTCTTGATTAGTTATGTGTGTTCTATTTATACTTGCATAAATATGATTTGACATAAATTTGTTCTACTTTTCCAGCACTATATGCAATTATAATGGTGTTCACTTCCTGGATGCTGCTCATGCCGGGTATGAAATGTTCTGTTAAACGCTCTCTTAGCTTCAATTAATGTTTTAGTTTTGTGTGTCTCATTCATGATTG